CACTTGTTCACATGTCCACATGCATACATCCTTTGTTTCTGAATTCTTTATGACAGACATTTTATACTGGGACTAGTTTGTTTCGTAAAGCCATTCTCTAGCAACTTATAGGAAGACATTGCTTTTCTGTTTCCTGGGAACTTCTCTAGTAAATCTTAAGAGCATATGAGATGTTTCAAAATGAGTTAAAAAGAAGGGTTTAAAACAACTTTATTACACATTTAAAATGCTCATAACTTTTTTAAAAAATATATATATTTTATTGATTTTTTACAGAGAGAAAGGGAGAGAGATAGAGAGCTAGAAACATCGATGAGAGAGAAACATTGACCAGCTGCCTCTTGCACACCCCCTAGCGGTACATGCCCTTGACATCGGAATCGAACCTGGGACCTTTCAGTTCACAGACCGACGCTCTACCACTGAGCCAAACCGGTTTTGGCTCATAACTTTTTTTAAATTGGTTTCAGAGAGGAAGGGAAAGGGTGAGAGAGATAGAAACATCAGTGATGAGAGAGAATCATTGGTTGACTGCCTCTTGCACGCCCACTGCTGGGGATCAAACCCACAACCCTTGCATGTGTCCTTGACTGGAATCATACCTAGGACCCTTCAGTCCACAGGCTGATGCTCTATCCACTGAGTCAAACCAGCTAGGGCAAAATGCTCATAACTTTTGAGAAACTGAAGTTTTGCCTTGCTATGTGAATTACCCTCTACCTAGTGTTTAATTACTTTGATAATGTGGAAATATTTTGAAACAATGTTTAAATATAATTTCAGTTATTTCTTAGCATTGTATGTCATCACATAGTTAATCATTAAACTCAACCTAATAAAAATCAGTAAAATGATAACGTTATATTATTGAAAGAACTAATTCACTGCATTTAATGATTTGAAATCTCAATTAGGCCTACCATCAAGTTTAGGTTACTGGAATTGTAGAAAATAATGCCTTGAGATTTTGGAGGTTAGAGGAAATTGGCAATCTATCTATCTATTATAAAAGCCTAAGCTTTTCAGGTCTGGTTCTGTAAAAAGAAGTGGCCAACTTTTGAAGAAAAACTAAAAATTTTTCAAATGAAAATTCTTTGGTGCTATACTGGCAAGCTCTAACTGCTAAATAACGAATGTTTTCCCATGTTAAAATAGTATGTAGCTGAGACAGACCCCCTGTAATCCTGTACCCTAACCCCACTGACCCCTGCAAGTGGGAATGCAAGAACAACACAACTATAGCAACCCATGACAGGGGGTTCGGAGCCTTGGAGTCTGCTCTTCACTCTGTCATTTTGTGCAAGTCATTTGACTCCTCAGGCTCGGATTACTCATTTATAAAATGAATGGATTAGGCAAGGTCATTTCTAAGGTTTCTTTAAACTGTGCTGTCATGTAATTGGCATTTTCTGATTCCGGGGTCAGAGACTGGGCAGGGATTTGGGTGGCCGAGTAGTGTAGGTGTCAAGCACTTCATACTCACCACCTTTCCATATTTGCATGACCTAGTCACCAGTTCTGATTGAATAACCAAAAGATACTGTATGTTCTCACACACACTAAAATTTTTTTATAGGAGCGCATTTTCAGTTTTATAATAGAGGTCATTGAAAAAAACCTTATTTCATAGGACTTGTGCCTTTTGACATCATTATCATTCTTTGAGCATTTTATTACTTTATGATGCAAAGATGTTCCAGCTTATTTTATAATTAGAGGCCCGGTGCACGAATCCATGCACCAGTGGGGTCCCTCAGCCTGGCCTGCAGGGATCAGGCAGAAATGGCTCTCCGACATCCCCCAAGGGGTCCTGGATTGCGAGAAGGCGCAGGCCGGGCCGAGGGACCCCACCGGTGCACAAATCCGTGCACCGGGCCGCTAGTATCCATGTAAGATCTTTGGTTAATCTCTTCCCGCCCCGCACCTCCCCGCTTCCCTCAGAGACTTATCAGTCTGGTCCATGTTTCCATGCTTGTGGTTTCCACTCCTGTGTTGAGCGCTTTCCCCCAGATGGTCAGTGAATGTCATAGCTACTGGTCAGATGGTTGCTTAGGCTTTTATATAGATAGATAGATTGCCAATTTCCTAAGGAGTCCTGGTTCCTTTGAGGGGGATGGACTAGGTGTGCCCTTTTATAATGGGATGTTGTTGCTTCTCCCTCATTTGAAGGGCAGAGCTGGGAAGTGTATGGTTTTTTTGAAGTTGTGTGATACCTCTAGTTCTTGTTCACCACTGCAGGGCTCTTCCTCTCCTTCCCGTGTTTGGTTTGTATCTTCCTTCTCTCTCCATTGAGATTCCCAACAGTATCTCTGTATTTATCTGTCTGCTCAAAGCTACAGTAAATACAAAGTAATTTTAGGATTTTCACCAACATTTCTACCAGCAACAAACCTGCTACACAAAAATTCTAGATTTCTCTTTACCTTAAGAATATATAGCTCTTGCTGGGACCGGTTTGGCTCAGTGGATAGAGCGTCGGCCTGCAGACTGAATGGTCTCGAGATCGATTTCGGTCAAGGGCATGTACCTTGGTTGCGGGCACATCCCCAGTGGGGGGTGTGCAAGAGGCAGCTGGTCGATGTTTCTCTCATCAATGTTTATAACTCTCTGTCCCTCTCAATTCCTCTCTGTGTAAAATCAATAAAATATATATATTTTTAAAAAGAATATATAGCTCTGGCTGGTTTGGCTCAGTGGATGGAGCCTTAGCCTGTGGACTGAGGGATCCTAGGTTAGATTCTGGTTGGGGGCATATGCCTGGGTTGTGGGTTCCATCCCCAGTAGGGGGTGTACAGGAGGCAGCCAATCAGTGATTCTCTCTCATCATTGATGGTTCTCTCTCTCTCTCTCTCTCTCTCTCTCTCTCTCTCTCTCTCTCTCTCTCTCTTCCCTCTCTTTTCCTCTCGGAGAATATATATATATATATATATATATATATATATATATATATATATATATGAATATATCATACTGAAAGTGTACATCCATGTACTCTCAAAGAGATTACTCTCTGTTATAACTTGTCTTGATGCCATCTTTTCCCTTCCCTCTCTTCTTCCCCTTGTAGATGCTCAATAAATATTTGTTCTCTTCTTGAGCTAGTTCTGTCCACAATACTTTTCTAAGTTAAATTCATTACCATTTCTTTAGGAATTAAGTATAACTAATCTGACAGGGCACTAATGTTTTGAGTAAACAGTTATATAAGTAAATAAAAAGATAATATCTGATATATATAGCTTTATAGCATATAATTTTATATAACAATACATATATAAAGTTACATATTTGTCAAATCCTGCCACATAAACCCATATATATTGAACTAACTTTATCTATATGTTTATGTACTCTTTAATTATGGCTTATATATCTTTTTTTTTTCTGGTTTTGATTTCAGCTAACATTTCATATTAGGATCATTAATTTATCAGAAACTGTGGGTTTCAACTTTATTTTTCATTTTATGAATTGGAAGACTTATAAAAACATTTTAATGATTTTTTTATGGTATCTTTGTATACTCTAAGTCTAAAGTATATAAATTCTAGTTAAGCATTTAATAAATCACAGGCCAGGTGCAGGGGTGTAGGCTGGGGAGAGGTAAAAAGGAGGCTGCTGTTGGTGGAAAGAAAGAAGTGGTGCTAAATGTATATTTGAACTTAATGGAATTTGAGAAGTGTAGATTGGGAAAATAAACATTTTTAGGCCCCAATATGAATGTGTTAGCTAGTCTTTCTGTTAAAACTACTTAATAAATTATTCTCTTACAATAGCTTTTTAAAAAATATATATTTTATTGTTTTTGTACAGAGAGAAAGGGAGAGAGATAGTTAGAAACATCGATGAGAGAGAGTCATCGATCAGCTGCCTCTTGCACACCCCCTACTAGGGATATGCCCGCAACCAAGGTACATGCCCTTGACCGGAATCGAACCCGGGACCTTTCAGTCCCCAAGCCGACGCTCTATCCATTGAGCCAAACCGGTTTCGGCTTAAAATAGCTTTTTTAAAAGTATGTTTTAGTCACCCAAATTGACAGAAATATATACTTGTATATGTTCTTTGATAGTATGTCTCAGTGATGAAGAGAAGATATTAATGTTCATTCTAGTTGTTCTTTAGGCTGTCTTCTATTGAAAGAACTACTAGATTAATTATATGGGTTTACCTAATCCTTTATTAAAGAAAAACAACCATGATATATTAAAGAAAATATGAGTTTAAACATGTATGCTTTCATTGAAATGATCACGGCACTTTAAACTGGTTTATGCTAAGTGAAATAAGCCAGTCAGAGAAAGACAAGTACCATATGATTTCACACATACGTGGAATTTAATGAGCAAACTGAACTACCAAGCGATGTAGAGACAGACTCGTAGATAGAGAGCAAGCAGATAGTTCTGGGGGTGGGAGTAGGGGATGAATGTTGAGGGAGTGGTTATAGGGATTAAGAAAAAAAGAGAGTGAACTCATGGACATGGATGACTGTGGTGATTGTGGTTGGGGGTGTGAGAGTGGAAGAGGATATAGAGGGACTAAATGGTGATAGAAAAAATAAAATAAATATATTTGTGGAAAAGTCCAAGAGTCTTTTAAAGTACTTTAAAAGATATTTCCATTTTTAAAGGCATTTCAAAAGTGTTTTTAAAAGTCACCCTTTAAAGTATTTTAAAAGGAAAGCAAGACTTTACAATTGTTTTTGGCTTACTTTCATTAATTTGTATATATGCATATTAAAGATGTGTATATGCTTTCGATCTTATTACAAGTAGGCATATCCTTCCCATCTCTTTCTTTATTATTTTCTTATGGGTATATGTAAACTTAAATCTCTAAGCAAGACCTTCTGGAATATTTGGTCATCCTAGCACCTTTTATTTGCATAGTTTCATGAATATAACGAAGCCATGGCCAGAGTACTCAAATATTTTTTGTAATCAAGGACAAAAAAGCTAAAATCCTCTGAAAGTAATTTTTTTGTATTTTTATTACAGATAAATTGGGATATTCACATTGTACAGAAACAGAGGTAAGAAAATGCTCAAATATTTCTTAGTAAAGCAGTTTTGCAGTCCTATATAATTTAGCTTTGAGTACTATCAGAGTCACTGTGGGTTTTGGTCTGATAAGCATGTGTTGAGAGCAGGTATATCTTTACATTTAGGAAGAGTAAAATGTGAAGAAGTCAATTATCTTGTCCATGTTTTTAAAATGTCAGGGTGTGATACAAAGATAAGCTTAATCATAGTTTAAACTTTTTCTTGAGTTATTTGTGAAATTGAGTTAGCTAAGATTAAGAGCCCTTAATTTGAAATAGTTGTGGTTTTTCTTAATCCAGTCTTGTGTGTCATGATAAAGGGATAATTTGTGTTGGACTCCTATGGAGGTGCTGGGGTGTAGGAAAAAATAGGGATGTGGGAACAGTGCTTCTGTAAGATTAATAATGAATCACTTTGTTATTTGTATAAGTAGGATTTTTAAGTTTTAGTGATTTAAAAATATATATATTAAAATTCTAATTGTGAAATTTAAGGAATTCCCATGATTCCAGGTGTTCTTTGCAGGAACTTCAAGGATAACACTGAAATGTGAGGGCAGCCTCCCTGAGTTATGTGTGTGTGTTCCTTTCGGGAACAGTTGCATCCTTCTTATATGAGGAGTCTTAAGTCTTGAGTTTAGAGTAGTGCCTAATTTTAAGGATTTAAGAAGTTACTTTTCTAACTTTATAATATATCTACATGTTAAAGCAGGTGTTAGTGAATTTTAACTGTTACTTTAAAATGCAAGGTTCCTAAGGGATTATATTGTATGATAAGGGAGCAAAAGTAATTTACTATTTTTGTATTTAAAAGTTATGTAATTCATTTTTTGTATTTTCTATTCAACTTTGAAAGTAGAGATATTTTTTTCCAAATTAGCTATAAAAATAGGTTATGCTTAATTGTATAGAGGGACTAAATGGTGATGAAAAATATTTTTATGTTGCAAGGATTTTTGATGTACTGTTCAATATGATATAAAGGAGTGGGATATGATTTGAGTCATAATGTTTAAGTTCTGTCTCTGGTTTCTGGTGTGCATCTTTCTAGCTATGTAATTTGAAGCAAGTAATTTTTTTCTTAGAACTTTTGCTTTCCTATCTATAACATGTTAATGATAGTCCCTGTTAACCTTATGGGTTGTGAAATTTTAGAGAGACAATATATGTGAAAATGTTTAGTAAACTCCAAAGACATTATTATATTTAGCAAGATGACACAAATGTAGTCAGCATGTATCTGCATTTAGGTAATAAAATGTGAGGGTTTTACACACAAGGCAGAGTCATAAGTCTTATTGTTCTATCTTATGGCAATACAGGGCATAAAACCAACATGGTTTTAACATATTGTTTAGTACTTGCTTTGTATAGGAGTATCATTGCATTTTATCTCCTAATTATCTCCTAACCCTTATCCTTTTTTATTTTATTTTATTAAATATATTTTATTTACAGAGAGAAGGGAGAGAGATAGAGTTAGAAACATCAATGAGAGAGAATCATCGATCAGCTGCCTCCTGCACACCCTCCGCTGGGGATGTGCCTGCAACCAAGGTACATGCCCTTGACCTGAATCAAACCTGGGACCCTGAAGTCCGCAGGCCGATGCTCTGTCCACTGAGCCAAACTGGTCAGGGCCTAACGCTTATCCTTTGATCTAACTCCAGCCACCAAAAGAATTGGAATTTAAACAGAATTTTCTTCCAGGTTTTTTTATTTTTTAAATTATAACTCCTTAAGAAAAATCACAAGCAAATAAAAATTTCAATCTGATATTTAGTTTACAAAATTGGTTCAGGGTATTTTCTAAGGGTGAACAGTAGTTGTTATCTCTGAAGAGATTGGGATTTTGAATGGTGATTTATCTATATTGCGAGGATTAAAAAAAATGAGACTGATCTCACTTATATGTGGAATCTAGTAAACAAAATAAATGGATGCACATATTAATAATAGGTCCATAGGCATGGATAGGTGGAATAGAATGACAGATCTCAGAGGGGAAGGAAGGAAGGGGAGAGGGAGTCGGAAGAGATTAGCCAAAGAACATATATGCATATATGCATAGCCTATGGACACAGGCAGTTGTGTGGGGAAGGCCAAGGATGGGTCAGAGGCTAAGAGGATGGGGGCAAAAGGGAGGAAAATGGGAGACATCTGTAATACTGTCAACAATAAATAAAGAAAAAATTAAAAAATCAGACTGTCTCTGTATATACTTGAGTAAGTACAGTAATAACAAGGAGGAGCAGTAGAGCAAGTGGGAACTTTTTCAAGAAGTTTGGTGAGCTTAAGTAGGAAGTTTTGTTTTGTTTCATTTCTGTTTTTAGGTTAAGGAAGACAGTATATGCGGTGGTGATTGTGGTGGTGGTGGTGGTGGTGGTAAGGGAACCAAGAAACAGTGTCACTGGAGTCCAAATTAGAGAGTGGGTATTTGCTGAAAGCAGACGTAGGACTTGTCTAGAAGATGATTTGACTAGAGCAGTGGGGCTTAAAGGGTGTGGGAAGGCTCGGGGAGGCGGCTTCCTGTCACCCTTTCAAAGTCAGGAGAAAGTATTTTCAAAGCAATACCACGACATTCTTTGCCCTTTGACTTTCATGGACTCAAGAGTGCACATTGGAGTTTTTAGGGGCTTCATGAATGTGGGACTATGACAAATACCAGACTGCAGAAGCAGACATGAGATCTAGCCAGCTTTTATTAAACATGACCTTTAAGAGTTTTGCAAAAATGTAAAACAATATCACCCTTCTAACTTTTTAAAAAAACAGCTTTTCCATAAAAATGTTACTGATAATTGTTTAACTTATTTTTCAAAAATATATATTTTTTATTGATTTCAGAGAGGGAGAGGGAGAGGTAGAAACATCAATAATGAGAGAGATCATTGAATGGCTGCCTCCTGCATGCCCCCCACTGGGGATTGAGCCTGCAACCCAGGCATGTGCCCTGGACCGGAATCAAACCTGGGACCCTTCAGTCCACAGGCTGATGCTGTATCCAGTGAGCCAAACCAGCTAGGGCTAATCTTATTTTAAAATTATTTAATTTAAATAAAAAATTTCTCAGTTTTCATTTCTAATATAGTAAATATGGATAGGTTATAGCTCACATAAACAGAGGCTCCTTGACTCCTCAGTAATTTTTTAGAATGTAAAGGGATCCTAAAACTAAAATGTTTGAGAGCTATTGGGCTGGGAGATAGTAGAGTTGCTTATTCTTGAGAAACAGAATTGAGAGTTAAGAGAGGTAAAACCGGAGCAAAACCAGGAAGTTGAGGAAATCCTTGATTTCTTTTCCAATTTTTGAAGGTATATTTTTTTTATTTTTACTTTAATTAATTAATTTATTTTTACATATTTTATTGATTTTTTTTTTGCCCCCCTCCCTTCCACTCACACATCCTCTCCCTCCCCAGAGTTTTATGAAGGTATAATTTATATACAGTAAAATTTAACCGTTTGAATTACAATTGAGTTTTGACTAATACATTAAGGTGTGTTAACTAACCCCACAATCAAGTTCTTTCATCCTCAAAATTCCCCCCATTTCCCTTGTGGTTAGTCCCTCTTCTGCCCCCAGTCCTTGGCAGTCACGGATCCGTGTTTTCCCCTTTTATTTAAACTGTCAGTTCTCCTTCTCCGGGGGTGAATCAGCCTGATAATTATAAACTCTTGAGTGATTGACCTATACTTGTGGGTACTTGTCTGCCAAGGAAGCAGTCCTGATCCCTAGTATAGGGAGAGCTTACATCCCCGTTTTACAAGTTTTTTCGACTGCCATTATTTAAATAGTTTTATGGGTTAAAGTCAAAGAAAATTGCTAAGCACTTAAAAATACTAAAACATAAAGTATTTGAATTTTCAAGTATTTAATTGTGGCCTTTCACTGTTGTTTTTAGTTTTCCAAATTTCATCACATTCCTGTTTTCTATTAACCACCACTAATTCTGAAGCACTCAGAGGCTCTTAACCTTTAGCAGGAAAGAAGGTTAAATGAATAACTAAAACAATCCTGCTGTTCCCCTTGGAGGATTAGTTGTATTTTAAGTGGAGTATGTTAAAATATTATATAAGGTTAACTTGTCAATACCTTCATCTTGATAGAGCTAGTTTGTAAAAATAGAAGCATAGTAGAAATATATGAGGGAAATTTTTAAAAACACTCATGTTTATCCCTGACCAGTGTGGCTCAGTGGATAGAGCACACAAAGGGTGATGGGTTCGATTCCTGGCCAGGGACAAGGTATCTTGGTTGCAGGGTTGTACCCTGGCCACAGTCAGGGTGTGTTGCATTCAGGAAGTAACCAATTAATGTGACTCTCACATTGATGTTTTTCTCTTTATCTCTCTTTCTCTCTCTTTTCTGTCCTTTCCCTCCCTCCCTGCCTTCCACTCTCACTAAAAATAAAAGGAAAAATTATCCCCAGGTGAGGATTAACAAAAATAATCTATACGTGTAAAAGGCTAAGCACCTGGCTGACCAGTCTGGTGGTAGCCACCAGGGGACACTCTCAACACTGGAGCTGCCGAGTGACAGCAACTCTGCAGAGTGCCCTCTCGTATTCTGGGACCCCTTGGGGGATGTCGGGCTGCCAGTGTCAGCCTGATCCTCACAGGCTAGGTCGAGAGACCTCACCTGCCAGAGGGACCCCACTCACCCTGCAGATGCCCTTCAAACCCTGGTGCCATCCCAGGTGTGGCAGGCCAGGGAGGGATCAGGGAGGTTGGCTCCAGGACGTGCCCAGCCCTTCTTGCCCAGTCCCGTTCTCCCCTCCTGCCCCCCGCCATCCATCTTTTAATTAATTCCCTTTCAGTGTGCATGAATCCATGCACCGGACCTCTAGTTTAAAAATAAAAACACTAATGTTCACTTCTTAGAAATAAACTCCACATATACCGTGTTTCCCCGAAAATAAGACATCCTCCGAAAATAAGACCTACTTACAGGTTTCCTTCTGAGTTAAATATAAGGCATCCCCCTGAAA